TAGCCACAGCACGATTATACCCTGCCTTGAGTTTATGTTGCGCGGCCTGTCCCAGCCATCAGGTCCGTAGTATTGTATATCCAATCAGTAGAGAATATTCACTGGGAGTCTTGTGGGAGCAAAACGTCCCTGTTCCGCGGTCGTTACCGAATATCATTAGTGCGGTCATATTTCTATCTGGAAGTGCGATGCCGCCAGCGGGGCAAATGAGAAAGACATTGAATCTTCACACGAAGGAAATGGGTTTTATAACGAGGGCCGTCCGGACAGAACTAATCTCTCTCTTGGATCATTACTTCACCTAATCACAAAACTTTTTTTTTAATTCAAATCCTTGCAGGGTTCTAATTGGTAACCTCTGGAGCCTGATAATTGTTTAAGATAGCTGGTCCTTTGCTGTCTGCCTAATGACGTTTGCAATTAAAAGTGAGAAATGGGCTTTAACCCTCAGGCAGATTTAACTAAAAATTAGATTTCTCTCTTTTTTTTTCAATTTTTAATCGTTACTCACATCCCTACTCCCCATAGTTACTGACTTCAGTCATTCTTGACTTGAACTAACCTAGCACACTATTTTCTTTGTTTTAATCTGTGGGTTTGCTGACGTTTGACACGTGTGTTGCGTCGCACTGAGAGTGACCCCGCCTCATTGCGTGTCGCCCAGGCATTGGCGCACCGCGGAGCGCAAAGCGCCCCAGCCTCTTTCTGCCCCCTGGATCCATCCCCCCGCCTGTCTCTTTTGGGTGATCTCCGTAGAAGCCGACATGGGCTTTGCAGTCCGTCCCAGTCAACGTCCCTGCTGCCCGAGAGTTTGCCAGGGTTCCCGTCGGGACGATGAAACTGTCGGAGCCCGCGCCCAGCACTGCTGTCTTCGCTGCTGGGCTGGGCCAACAGCTGGCTGGAAATGCGTTTGCCTCGCTCTACGTTTAGGGCGTTTAACGGCCCCCATTCTTCCGCTGTATTTCTCAGTAAACAGCAGGCATTCAGTGAAGGCAATTGGCTGACTATTCCTGAAAAGCTCTGTTGATTTATTGGAGGTGGGATTTAATCTGTTATGCTTGTCTGTTAGTCTGGAAGGCTTGGCTTGGCTTGGAGGCCAGTTGTGTGGTATTTTGGAGAAGCAAAGCCTCTGAGAGTCAGACAGTCCCGCCATCAGACTTCAGCTCCGCCTCTGACCAGGTGCAAGGGAGAAGGGGCGACAGTTTCTGCCCTCCCACTCTCGGGGAGCTCTGAGGACTGAATGTATGTAAAGCCTCCAGTGGAGTGTCTAGAATGTACTAATAATGATTCAGTTTCTTGGACCCTTCTACCTGTTTTCAGGACCGTTTTATCTGGGATTTCCAGGCTCTGGACTTTATTATTTTAAAATTATAAAAAAATCTTTCCCAACTAGAAGTTTATTTTGAAAATGATTAGGAGTTAGTACTAAGATCCAGGAACCTGCTCATTTCTGAAGGTCTTTGCGTCCTTTGCTGTGTTCCGATGACCGGTGTATGTGTCCCTGCGGCGTTGAACTATCGTGTCTTCTGTCTTTCTTTTTCTGCCCTGGTGCCTTTGGTTTGGTGAATGACTGCGCATGTTTAAGGAGGACTTAATGTGCCAATACACTGGAAGCTTCTTTTTTTCCCTTAAAAAGAATTTGACAAAATTTTTATAATAATTCTGAGTAACCTTAGAGTTTTTTAGTTACCTGGATTTTATTCTCCAGAATTCTCTTGCTTCACAAATGCTTCTTGAAATCCCTCCCACAGTGAAGCACTCATACCGTACATGGATAGAAGTCATCACAAATGAGGCACTGTATTAAGTAAACAGTGTCCTCTATTTGCATTGTGTGTTATAGCTTTCAAAGCACTTTGATAAACATTGTTTTGATACTCGCAATAATGTGGTTAGTTTCCCCCCAAGCGAAGTAATAACCCAGAATATTTTTTCTCCCTCAAAGCCATATCCCTTTACTACAGTAATACCAGGAAACCGGAGGGAGCATGGATTTAGGAATCAGATAACCTGGATCTGGTTCTGATCCAGTTTAAGCCGCCCGGTATCTCTGTGCCAGTGATTTTCAGCTGGTGCGCCGCCAGAAATTTAAAAACCTGCAGTACCTGACTGGTCAGGGGCACGGACCTCTTTTCCTTGAGGTTGTCACATTTAAAAAATGACAGCAGCCAACACAACAATAGCCATCTGATGTGAAACAAATCAAAATTAGACGTATTTTTGGGTCAGATTAGCAAAAGAAATAACGTATTTTTTGGCGTGCCGCAGAACGTGAGTAACTGGTTTCCGTGTGCCAGGAGCCGGAAAGGCCGGACACCTCTGCTTTCCGTGGCCGGTTCCCTTCCTCACAGGGAAGATCCTGGCGCTTCGCTGCGGCGTCGCGGGGCCATCGCCCACACGGCCGAGCTCAGCATCTCGCTTTGCTTCCCTTCCCAAGGCGGACAGGAGTGCCAGGGGCTGAATGTGCAGACCTGCTTCTCGTGGTTGGTTTTCCTGGCAGCCAGGCCCCCTCCTCCAAGACTCACCTCCGCAGGGTAAACTCAGGCCTGGTCGAGAGGGGCTTGCTCTCAGTAACGAAAGGCGTTCCTAACACTCAAGAAATTCTAAGTCTCTTGGGAGCTCTGTGCCAGGAACGGGGGATAAAAACAAATACATACTTTTCATTACATCCCGCCCACATACTGACTTTCTACCAGGCATTGTTACTGAAAAAATTATTTGGGCACTTGTTAAAATGGTGAAGACTTTATTCAGCGCTACCACTGGAGGAGAGAGGGATGAGGTTCAGTTCTGAGTACAGCAAAGAACCGAGTGTGGGGACAGTGGATAGAAAGTTACTAAGAGGGGACCTCAAAGCTGGCCGGGTTCGTCCGTGCTGCCTGAAGCCTCCGGCTTTCGTCACGTTTCCCACTCACCTAACATACTATGAAAATCTTAATTTTCTGTCCAGTAGGACATAAAAATAACCATGGAGGTGATTGCTGAGGCATATGCTGTATTTAGAGTTGGACAGACCTGGGGATGAATCCCACCTTTGCCATTTATTAGCATTTCTGGACTTCCTTTTTGTCACCTCCTGTGGGGATTGAATTATGTCATGGATGTGACATGTTGGACTCTTAAATACCCCCAGCTCAACGGGCAGAATGAATAGATACGTGTATCCCTTTATATCTCCAGTGCCATTTTTGGTACCTTCTTTGTGCTTCGGTGCCTTCTTTGACCTGTCGACTGAGTGTAAATAAATCAGGAGCCTTTGGCTGGAAATAAATGATATTTATTCAAGGGCTTTAGGGTTTGCAAATTGGACACACAGCTCAGCCATACTCAGAGTACGCCAAAGAAGAGAGAACAGCTAAGAGTTTTTATGCTGAAAAGTATTTTCTTGAGAAGATTCCATCATGCACTCTTAGGTTCTGGATTGATCCGAGATATAATCTTACTGGCGTCTGGTGACCTGGGTAATGAACGTCAAGGGGTCTGGATATGTGAACGTTCTTCCTGAGTCCTCCAGGGGATAATCCAAGGTTTGTTTATAGGGTTTAGACGTATCTATATAGGCATATATCTATTCACTATGTGTGTACATGTATATGTACATGTACATGTCCATCTGTATCTACAGGCGTAACTCGAGAGTTCAAAAGTTTAAGTTCTCAGGCCAGTTAAAATAAGAGTCGAAACATTTCTTCATGCATCAGCGTACTTGACTTTAGCTTGACCGGAGTGATGCACTGTACTTCGCTTTTACCCGCAGGGCCTTGGTATCTTGTGGTCCTTCTGTGGCAGAATCAGTCCACATGCGCATCCATTCAGCCGTTATTCAGGCACCTGTTTGTGTACCTCTTGTACAGCCCAGTGCTATACGCAGCAAGGAGAGGAATGATACTCATGTTTTCCAAGAGCTAGAAAGTACACATAGTAGGTGCTTAGTAGTGGATGTTTGTTGAATGAAGAAACAGATGTTACCTAAGAGAAACTTAGGTTCTGGTGAGAGGGCCTCTTAGTCCGTTAAGACTTTGATAACAGAAGACCATAAACAACAGAAACTGACTTGTCCCCATTCCAGAGGTGGGAAGTCCGAGGTGAACACACCTGCATGTTTGGGGCCGGGTGAGGCCCACTCCCTGCCTCGTGGCTGGCAGTCTTCTGGCTGTGTCCGCACGGGGGTCCCTTTGATAAGGGCGCTGATGGCATTCACAGCAGCTCCATCCTCATGACCTAGCCACCTCCCAAAGGCCCGCCTCCTAATCCCGCTGCCCTGGGGGGCAGGATTTCAATATGTGGATTGGGGTAAGGCCACACTGGCTGAGCAGAGGGTTCCAGTGCAGCTGTGTGTGAGTGTCAGGGTGGCAGTGAGGGAGCCCCCGCTCCTGCTGCCCCGCGGAGGAGAGGGACAGGGGCTCCTTCAGAGTGGCAGGCAATGGGGTTGAATCCTGAAGGAGGTAGGTTTGCCGTTGAAATCACCCACACGGCGCCGCAGCGGGAGAGAGGAGCGTTGGCGAAGCCCGTGGCTGCAGTCAGTCTTGTCGCTTGCCAGGAGGGGAGGTTGGGTTGGGGCGTGTGAAAAAGAATCAATTCCTGACGGCATGAGCCTTGGAGAGCCAGGCAGGAGGAAGAGGGGGGCTGCCAGCGCTTCGCAGCCCTGAACTGAGAACGCTCCCCAGCTCTCCCTTGCTGTCCCATCAGCCTTCCCCTAGGATTCCAGGAGGCCCCAAGGAACTGACTTGGGTGTTCACGTGCATTTGTTAACTTCCATGAGCAAGGGCGTCGGAGACTGGACTCGGTAGTGCTGTGGTAGATGCAGCTTTTCCACTGTTCTGGTAAAGAAGTGTTGATAAAATGGGAAATATTTCATTACTTAAAAAAATTGGAGCAATCTAATAACCCCAAAACACTATTTCTGTATTTGATGTCAGGCCGCAGTCGACCTAACGAGAGCTCCCGGCCTTGGGAGTTCTCAGTCATGCACTTCATGGTTATCTTTTTTTCCTCCACAGAAATAGAGAAGTTTCAAAAAGGAGAAGGCAAGGATGAAGAAAAGTACATTGACGTGGTGATTAATAAGAACATGAAGCTGGGACAGAAAGTGTTAATTCCTGTGAAGCAGTTCCCTAAGGTAAGAGTGAGGCTGCCTTGGGCGCTGAGCTCCTGCAGGCCGCAGGTGTCCAGCTTCTCTTGCATCCCCTACATTCTGGCCTTGTTTCCCTTCAGCCCAGCTCCCCGCACCCCCCTGCCCCCCGCGCCCAATGCCCGCAGACTTCTACAGTTAATTCAAAACCTATTTAATGGTTCTGTCTTTACTGTTTGTCCTTAGCTTGAGGTATGGGGCCCTAAAAAAATTGTGCTCATGAGGCATACGAGCATGGAACCGCTGGACAATTTAACTTCTACTTTAGTTTCTTTATTTGTAAGATGAGGTTAGATTAAGAATTAAATGAGATTATCTATGTAAATGCGTAGCGCAGGGTTGAGCGCATAAATGTTCAAAATACTATTTATCCTAATTGTTATAAAAAAAAGTTCTATTTTTCATTTATTGCAAGTGTTATTTTCTGCTGTTGAGCACAATTACAGGAGGTGCTTTACAGTATCTAATTCTAAACTCTTGGCCAGTCTTAGCTTTGGCCTGAATTGGTACTCTTTTTACCTCGTTTTTCTTGATTTCTTTCTTTTGAGAGTCCATGTACATTATTTACGTGCACTGCGGTATCGTTCAGTGGTTTGTTTCTTCTCATTGCCGACTAATAATCCGTTACCTGAATATACCACAATTTACCCATTTGTCTGGTTCAGTGTGAGTTTATTATAAATTAAATTGCTGTGAACATTTTCATTTTCATACAAATCATTTTGTGACCCTGTGTTTTCATTACTTTTGAGTAAATAGTAGGAATTTAATTGCTGTGCATGCAGTTTTACAGGAAATTGTCATACTTTCCCCCAACAGTGGTCCTACCTGGTGACCTTTCCGGGGACAATGCATGCGAGTTGTGGTTGCTCCATGTCTTCATCAACTTTTGATGTTATTGTTATCAGTTTCTAATTTTAGCCATTCTGCTAGTATATTATATTGCGGTTTTTCCTTGTGGTATTAATTGGCACCTTCCTGATGATTAATGATTTTGTGTTTTTTTTTAAGTGCACTTACTACTGGCTGTTGATTTATCTCTGGGGGTAAAGTGACTTTTGAGGGTTTTTTCCCCCTTATTTCTAAATAGGATGTATGTCTTCTTATCATTGAATTATAGGAGCTTTTTCATACATCCTGGACCCATGTTGTTAGATATATGTGCGTGGCTCATCTACTATTTTCTTAATAGAGTCTTGTGATAAGCAGAAGTTTTTAATTTCGATGATGTCCAGTGTATCAGATTTTTCTTTTACGGTTATTACCTTTTGCCAGTGAAGAAAGCTTTGCTGCACACGTGGGATTTTCCAGGCTCTTTATTGAATGTGAAGATGGCCTCCTGTATTTCCTCTGAAAGCTTTCTTACTGTAGCTTTTACTTTGAGGTCTGTGATGCATCTGAACTTAACTTTTGTTGATGGTGTGAGATCGAGGGTCAGAGTTCCTTTTTTCTTCATTCCGATGTTCAGGTTTCCCAGTTCCCCTTGTTGAAAGATGTTTCCTTCCCACTGACCCTGTGCCTGGAGGAAAGTCGGGGGGCTGCTGAAGCTGCTGCAGGGAGGGCCTGCCTGCGCCTCCTCGCCCGTTTTGTCGCTCTGTCTGTGGCTCCCACCGCTGCTGCCCCGTGGTCTTCAGTGCTGTAGTGTTTTACAGCAAGACAGCAAGTGAGGCAGTCCTGTTCCTTCGGCTTTGCCCTTCCTTCTCAGGGCTTCTTGGATATAGGTCCTCTGTGCTTCCCCATACATTACTTATTTTATTAATTAACCCAACATGTCCTGCAGGGATTATGATTGTAGTTGATTGTATCTGGTAATCAAGCTAGGGAAATGTGACTTCCTAACAATATTGAGTCTTTCCTACCTTGAACATGGTATGCCATTCCATGTATTTAGATTTTTAAGTTCTGTCAGCAGCATTTTATACTTGTTAAGATAAAGGTCTTATTTGTCTTTTGTTAAATGTGTTCCTAAATATTTTATGTTTTTGACATTTGTAAGGATGAATATTTAAAATTCTTTTCCAATTTTTGCTTCTAATATAAAATTTCATATATTAACCTTGTATTTCTACTACCTTGCTAAATTCACTTGTTCTAGTAAGTTGTTTTATAATTTTTCAGGATGTTATGTACATAATTATAGCATCTGTATAAACAGTTTGCTTCTTTTCCAATTTGTGTGCTTTTTATTTATTTAGCTTGCTTTATTGTATTGGTTAGTATCTCTAGAATAATGTTTGAATACAGGTGGGAAAGATTAGTCATTCTTCACTTATTCCCAGTCAATGTGGGAAGCATTCACTACTTTACCATGAAGAATGGTAACAGCCGTAGGCTTTTTTGGTAGATGCCCTTCATTAGGTAGAGGAAGTTCTCTTCTATCTCAGTTTTGCTCAGGGATTTGATACTGATGGGGTAGTGATTTTTTTGAATGTCCTTTCTGCATCTATCAAAATGAGCACAGGATGTTACTCCTTTATACTGTTGACATAGTGAATTTTATTGATTGATTTGTCTGAATTAAGCCAGCTTTTCATAGCTGTTAATAGGTGCTACTGGCCTGTCATTTTTTAAATAGAGTGTCTTTGTCAGATTTTGGTATTAGTGTTATTTGTGGTTTCACAAGGTAAGCGGAGATTGTTTATTTTTTTTCCTCAAAGAATGTGTGTCACTTTGGTGTTGTTTTTCCTCCATATTTGATAGAATTCACCAGCAAAGCTCTCTGGGCCTGGAGTCTGATGATGAATTCAATGTCTTCAGTTCACATGTCACTACTCAGATTCTCTGTTTCATCTTTCGTGGTTTTTTTTGTGTGTGTTTTTCAAGGGATTTGTCCATGTCATTATATTTTAGCTATTGCTTCTTCAAATACATTTTTTGAGCCTTTTTCCCCACTTTGACACTTCAGTTATTCGTACAAGGTCTGTTCAGAAGGTATCCAGCCGTGTAAGATGAAAAATAGAGACATTTATTGAAGAAGATACAAGATACAAGAAACATTGTACATAGGACAGTGATGCCTCAGTCCCCTTCATTGTAGGCACCTTGGGACCTCACATAGTTCTCCCAATTGCCGTTAGCTGCCCCATCGTATTTTCTTGAATCTCATCAGCAGTTGGAAATCTCTTCCCTTTCAAAGGTGATTTTAGTTTTGGGAAAAGCCAGAAGGTGTAGGGTGCCAAATCTGGGCTGTAGGGGGCTGAGTCATCTGGGTGACTTGGTGTTTCACCAAAAAACTCTGCAGAAGATGTGATGCACGAGGAGGTGTGTTGTCATGATGAAGCTGCCAATCACCAGTTGTCCATAGCTGCAGGCTTCTGAATCATCGGAATAGTTTCTGTGGAGGAATGTTCAAGCTTAACACAAAATTTGACAGATTCGTTGCCCTGCCAGCTCAGTCATTTTGAATGTGACAGCCCTCAGTACATGTGGTCACTCAATGGCATCTACCGCCCCCACTGACTAGTACAGTGAAGTCCTCATTGTTCACTTGTGCGCATTCCAGTTCACTCTCTTTGGTTGCCAGGTTACATCGATGTTGTGCAACCCGTTCTCATTATATTAACAATGGCTGGGCTTTTTTCCAGACAGACCTCGTTCAACCTTGTGATATTCTCAAAGGGTTTTGGTAGCTACGGTCACTTCTGTTATTAGTTTTCTTTTCTCTTTTGTTCTTCAGTGTGGATAATTTATACTGCTGTATCTTAAAGTCATTGTTCTTATTGTTTTCTGTTAAGCCCATCTTACAAAATTTTTATGTCACATATTTTAACAATCTGTTTCAGATTTTATATTTGACTCATATATAAATGTGTATTTAAAAATATATTTTCTTCTCTCCTAGGATTTTCTAGTTTTTTAATTCATTGCAGGTATTATTTTGTGTCATTGAGCACAGTTAAAATAGAAACTTTAAGCCTCTATCTAATTCTAAAATCTTTGTCATCTTAGGTTTGACTTGAATTGATAATCTTTTATCTTGATAATGAGTCATATTGTTCTAGTATTTTTTGTGTGGAGTGATTTTAGATTGTATCCCGGACATTATGAGTGTTAATATTGCAGAAACTCCAGATTCCATTCCCTTTCTTTGAGGAGTGTTGATACTTTTGGATTCAGGCCACAGATTTGCCTCTTGGGTGGAAGTGGTCCCAGTTCAGTTCGTTTCTTAGTTTGACTTTTGCATTTACTTCTGGCACACATGATTTGGGGGCCAGCCAGAGATTTTGGCAGATTTTATCCACAATATTTGGGGCTCCTCAACTCTAATTCTGCGTTTTGCAGTATTCCTCTCTCTCATGTCAGCACTGGGGTTGCTTCAAACTCTGCTACTCTACAATCAGTGAGTTTGGGCTAAAACTCTACAATCAGTAAATTTGCCCATGCCATTCCCTTCTTCCAAGTCCAGCTCCCTCCAGGGGTCTCCTTGTTTTTGATCATTCAGGCTCAGATAGTTGGTTTTTATTTTGTTCAGAGTTTCAGAGTTCGTATTCGGAGACGGGCAGCCTGTTCGGAGCTTAGTCATACTTACAGACTGAGGATGCACATTTTCAGGAAATAGAAAACAGTGTTGGGAACCCTTCATGGAGTCATCACTAAGCAAAGCATGGCTCGTGGAAACCTTTATAAAATGGTAACTGTGCTCAGTGTACTCTGTATACTCGATATGCATTAGACAGAAAGATAAACATACACTGCCTGTCTTCACATAGCTCGTAAGGTTGGTGATGATTAATCTACAATTAATACTCTGTTGTGTGTGAGTAAATACATGAAATGAAATACGTGAAACAAAGTTTTGAACATTGTTCTCCAACGTCAGCATTGATAAAGGTAGGGGAAGACAAATTATACTTTCTGGGCCTAACAGAGCAGAATCATTTTAAGTATTTATAAAGTCTGAAGTAGGCCACTTAGAAGCCCATTGCTTTCAAAATGCTGAAAAAGGGCATTTCTGCCGAGCGTAGTGGAGTGCGCAGGTTTCAAGCCGC